CCAAAAATAGACCAAAAGTGTGATTCAGTGAAACAGGAAACCAAAATAAAATAGACAAGATCCACAAAGCCAACGGGACTAAATGTGACATTGGTGAGACTGAAAATCAGAATAAAGAGGAAATACGAATAAACCACCAGAGTGGGTGAAGGGGGCACACGGTGCTTATCCTCCTTTCACACAAAATTCTAGCAAAATGGCATGTGAACAGCGCAAGCAGAGTCCTGGGGGCCATGCGGGGCCGTAGCAGGCCGTCCGTGGGCTGAGGCAAGCGCTCTGTGTGCTGAGTGTCATGTGGTCCCGTAAGTGTATACATTTCCGAGCTCATCAAACTGTCCACTTACGAAGGTGCTTTTTATTAAATGTGTAAGGCGTGCTTCAGAAGAGCTGCCTGAACTAGCACAAGAGAGTCACCGCACACCTCTGTGGGGTGGGTCTGAAGCTTTAGGTGCAATGGAGTATTACTAGTGAGAACATAGTTTACCAAATTTGACCCAAGAAGCAAAATTTCCAAGTTCCTTTTACAAAGCAAGCATAACACTGGTAGCTAAACCTGACGATGATACTGAAAAGGAAATTTTAGCATTTGGGGGCATCAGTGCAACAATCCTAAATAAGATAAAATATTAACAAACCAAATTCAACAGCACATCATACAATAACATGACTGAGTGTGTGTGTCTGTGTCTGTGTGTGTGTGAGCCCTGAAGTCAGAAGCGCAGCTGTGTAAGGAGGTGCTGGGCGCAGTCCCGTGGAGGCCTGACCCCATCACTGGTGCATTCTGACTGCGTACTTGGGACACAGGGAAATGAAAGCAAACGAGAGAAACCAAGCAGAGGCAGGAGAGCTGGGGGGATACAAGCTCTGTTTGCAGCTAACTTAATAGTGTGTTTCAAAAGCCCTAAAAGACCAGTGCTAAAACTGGCAAAATAATAGGAAGTATTCAATAAAGTAGCAGAATATGAATTAATGAAAATCAATAGCCTTTCTATACACAAGCAATAGCCAACCAGAAGATATAATGGGAGAGTTTTTACTTACTAGTAGGGACTAGAGAGCTAATCCTTTAAAAATAAATCTGGCCAAAAATATGCAAAGTCTACAGGAGGAAACTTCAGTGAACTCCTGATAGACACAGCAAGAGGCAACAGTTGCCTCGAGCAATTGTAAAGATGCTCCTTGTTCTTGGCTATGATGACTCTAAATATCATTAAAATGTCAATTCTCTCTAGTTAATAAAAATTTTAATGTGAGTACCATAAAAATAATAGCAGGTTTTTTTCCTTGAACTGGACAAATTGAAAGACATGTAAACAAAAACACTCAAGATCAGTTAGCAAAAAAATTAAGTTACGGGGGGATTAGTACTACCAGAGGTTAAAACACAACTAAAAAAACCCCAGAAATTTCAACAGCGCATTATCGTCGTGTCAACAGACAATCTGGAGAAGTAGAATAGAAAGGCAGAAATACACCTGTCAACACAGGGAAATTTAGTGTATGGCAAAGGAGGAATCTCAAATCACTGGAGTGAAGATGGCCTTTAAAAGTAAGTGGTATGTGAACAAATGAATGTTTGGAAAGAGTCAAAATTGGATCTATACACACATGTCCTTATGTCATATATGAGAATAAACTGAATATTAAACAAGCAGAACTATACAAATACCCAAAGAAATGATACGTGAATATCTTTATAACCTGGGTGTGGAGAAAGCTTCCTATGTATAATTCAAAACCCAAACCCAAGAAAAGATGGACTAATTTGATCGTATACAAATACGAATATTTTCCATGACACATATGTGCACAGGCACACACACCCTGGGGGCTGAAAATAACTCCTTAAAAGCTGAGGGTGGGGGAGAAGAGGCCTAAAACAAATACGAGCAAAATATGAAAAAAAAAACAAAAATGCTGTAAAATACCACTTAAGTAGAAAATGTGTTTGCCTTGACTTGTGAAAGAAACTCAGATTAAGCAGGGAAGATGGTGGGGGGGAGGTGCGGCCAAGTGGCGGGGCACGAGCTTGGCATGCACAGGGTGCTGGGTCCTCGGTACCTGCTCCAAAACTAAATAAATAAATGACCCCAATTACCCCCTCCCCCCACCAAAATAAAAACTTAGAAAAATAAGAAATTAAAAAACAACAGGGAAGATGGTGCAGCAGCTGCTGCAGAAGGCGACGAGCAGGGTAGTAGAGGGCGGGTCAGGGCCAGGGGTGGCTCAGGACTGCGGACACGGGCCCCCGGCCCCGCCCTCTCCCCCACTGAACGCAGCTGTAAAACTGGAAGGAAATACCTGCAAGAGCGCTGTCAGGATTCCGAACAGAAAACAGCAGCAGAAAGCTTGGGGAATAAGATGAGAATCTGAAGAGCCGCAAATGCGTGGTAAGTCTCCCCCTTTTCATTTCCTCTTTATTCTCTGGGTTTGCCTCAAGACACCCCAGAGCCCGACGTGAATGCCAGAGCACGGAAGAGAGGTCAGAGGGCCCCTCCAGACCTCCCCTGCTGAGCGGGAGAGGCCGCAGCGACAGCAGCCCCGCCCGGAGCCTGCGGGGACCAGAGCTTCTGAGAGAAGGAACCGGCGCCTCCATCAGAGGACTGTGATCCCAAGAGCGCAGGGTAAAGCCCACTGACCTTTTTCTCTCTACCTCTTCCCACCTCACGCCCCCAGATGTGGTTACAGGGCTGGGACATAAACAGAGCTGGGGAATAACTAAGCTCCAGCTTTCTGACTAGATGCCCGAAAGGAAGAACCCCAGGTAACTAGAAAGTGCCAGAGAGACTGCAGGGAGTGAGGAGCCTGGGAAAGAAATCCCATAAAGGTGTTTATGAAAAGCCAGCTCACTCCTGAGCTGTGCAGACATGGATCTGGCCCCAAACAACACAAACAGTGTAAGCAGATCTATGGGGCCGACCTCCGCCAAGCTGTCAGACTGGCCACTGGCTACCCAAACACTGCAACGGCTTCGAAAACTGGCCTGACATTGGAGCACAACACAAGAACTAAGGGCAAACACTTTTTTGTTTTAACTTTTTTTATTGAGTAAGAGTCATTTTACAATGTTGTGTCAAATTCCAGTGTAGAGCACAATTTTTCAGTTATACATGAACATACATACATTCATTGTCACGTTTTTTTTTGCTTTGAGCTACCACAAGATCTTGTATATATTTCCCTGTGCTATACGGTATAATCTGGTTTATCTATTCTGCATTTTGAAATCCCAGTCTGTCCCTTCCCACCCCGCACCCCCTTGGCAACCACAAGTTTGTATTCTATGTCTGTGAGTCTGTTTCTGTTTTGCATTTATGTTTTTTTTCTTTTTTTTAGATTCCACATATGAGCGATCTCATGGTCTTCTTTCTCTTTCTGGCTTACTTCATATAGAATGACAATCTCAGGAACATCCATGTTGCTGCAATGGCGTTATGTTGTCGGTTTTTGTGGCTGAGTAGTATTCCATTGTATAAATATACCACATCTTCTCTATCCAGTCATCTGTTGATGGACATTTAGGCTGTTTCCACGTCTTGGCTATTGTAAATAGTGCTGCTATGAACATTGGGGTGCAGTTGTCTTTTTGAAGTAGGGTTCCTTCTGGATATATACCCAGGAGTGGGATTCCTGGGTCATATGGTAAGTCTATTCCTAGTCTTTTGAGGAATCTCCATACTGTTTTCCACAGTGGCTGCACCAAACTGCATTCCCACCAGCAGAGTAAGAGGGTTGCCTTTTCTCCACAGCCTCTCCAGCATTTGTCATTTGTGGACTTTTGAATGATGGCCATTCTGACTGGTGTGAGGTGATACCTCATTGTAGTTTTGATTTCCATTTCTCTGATAATTAGTGATATTGAGCATTTTTTCATGTGCCTATTGATCATCTGTATTTCTTCCTTGGAGAATTGCTTGTTTAGGTTTTCTGCCCAATTATGGATTGGGTTATTTGTTTTTTTCTTATAGTCATATGAGCTGTTTATATATTCTGGAGATCAAGCCTTTGTTGGTTTCATTTGCAAAAATTTTTTCCCATTCTACAGGTTGTCATTTTGTTTTACTTATGGTTTCCTTTG